TGTTTTATTTTGTGATATGCATGCCTTCAAAACATTTGCAAAATATTAATCCAACAAATTTGTTGCCCTTAGGGCATTACTCTTTGATAGAGATTTCGTTAGGACTGTTTACTATTGACAGTATCAGAATCTTAGTGATGTTGTCTATTTATAGCATTGATAAAATCAACAAGTAATACATTATAATGTACATGAATGCATGTTTTTTCTTTCTTTTTTCCCCCATAAAGTTATGAAAAATAAAGACATCACACAAACTAAACCTTTCATTGAAAATATCTATTATGGCGTTGCCCTCCAATTATATTCTTTTTTTTCGCAAAATGAGATGCCATTATTTTATACCTGTCTGCTAATGCAGTTATCACAGCAGAGTCTATTCCTCCAGAAAACAAAATGGCTACTTTCGGATGATCTTGTTCACAACTAGGATTGGTCCTTGTTCCCCCTCCACAATTACCATCTCCTCTACCTGGTCCGTTTGCACCTTCTGTGGTTGGTTCTTCAGCTGTTAAAGGATTATTTTCGAGCACAGTAGCATTTGTTTTATTAGGAGATTCAGAGTGAGGTTTACATTGAGAACACGGTGACCTCTTGACCTCTGATGAAAAGTTTCCTGACCTTTCAACCTCTGGTGCCAAGGCAAGGTACGGTTGATTATAAATTCTCCTCCTGACCGCTTGTTGAAGGACATCTATTAGCTGGTCAGCTAGTTTATCAATTATTTCGTTATTTTGAATAAGATTTTCTATATATTTCTGATGGTCATTAACCGTTTCTATGTTTGACCCTGATTGTTTAAAGTTGAGGTCATCTGAAAAATTCTTTTCAAGGTCATTGTCCATATTTGGCAATGCCTTGTTCAACTTTGGCATTTGTGATGGGAATTTCAAATCTGTGTCCATGGAAAATTTCACAGGAGATATTTCAGATTGACCACTCCATAGTCTGTCCTGGAAAGTTTGACCACTGTCCACTTTGTCCATTGTTCCCGGCCAAACACTCTCTTCTCGTTGATAGAGGTGAATATTGAGGTCACACCCCACAGTAGGGACTTCTGGGAAATGTATACTGTAAATTCCAACTGATGGAACTTCTCTAAATTCCTGAAAGTGAAGTAAACAAGGTTTAGAATTATATTGCTACGGTTAAAAAGAATTATCTAAATGTGAAAGTCTAAAATAAATCCCACAGATATCCTATATAGCTAGATACACCATCATTAGGGAGAGTAAATTACAACATTACTACACATTTAAGTAAATGATATTACCAGACAGTTTCACAGGTGTAGTCTGCCCGCTTCCTCAATGTTAAGAATGGGGTTACTTCCAAAGTCCAGTGACCAAGTGGGCAGTACACAACCCTCCTGTAAATGTCCTTCACTAAGCAGTGTAGTAACGAGATACTTTACCCTATTTGAATTTTGTGTTGAATATACTTAAGGAGATAGACATGTTAGTAGATAAGTTAAAGGTACACTGCATTAGTTATAATTGCAAAGAAGAGTTACACTCAAGAGTTTTTTTGATTCAGAGTAATCTCCCTTTGATACGGGAGATGTAGCAACCAAGGGAGTTTTTTTCTGGCTCAGAGTAACTTCTTCTGTCAATTACATATCTTCCATAAATCATTAAATAATTATTTAACAGTTTTTTTTTGTTTTTTTTCTATTTTTATTTTCAAACATTCAAATTTTAAACACCTTTAACTCTGAAAAACTCCTCACAATATGGGATTTTTATGGGATATCTCTTTAAAAAATGACCATTTAACTTCTGACTTGCTTCAAATAAAGGTTGAGGAAACCTAGGGTTCTCAAAGATCGCCAGCTCATGTTCTATACAATTACCAAAGAAACCAATGTCTTCTAGTAATGGATCTGCCTACCATTTTACTTGGTCTCCAATTTGGATGGGGGATAGAATAACCATTCCTCCTTATTTTGTGGGAGGTGCTAAAGAAGGCTTCGCCTCCCTGAAATAACACTGCCTCCCACCTTAATTACCTGATCTCCAATCTGAGTGGATGATAGGATGAAATGTTCCTTCCTATTTTGTGGGAGGGGCCAAAGAAGGCTCCGCCACCCTGTAATAACACTGCCTCCCACCTTAATTACCTGATCTCCAATCTGAGTGGATGATAGGACGAAATGTTCCTTCCTGTTTTGCGGGATGTGCCAAAGAAGGCTCCGCCTCCCAAACATGTCCCGTCCAAACCACAAACATTTTGTCTTTTCCTGTAAAATGTTAAATGATATGCATATTAATACTTTACCCTCTATGATAGTGATTGTTCCATCTGCCATTGACAGCAAGCAACTGCTAAACTTGCGAGCATTATTAACTCATTCACCCCTGAAATTTCTTAATGAACTATTCCAACCTTAGAATAGGATGAGTTCAAATGCGTCTTCAGGGGTGATTGAGTTAATGAGACTTTTTTTCTGCTGTAATATATACTGCTTATGAAAGTTATTCCCCTTTGAATTTAATTTTCATCTGGCTTACATAGTATTTTTTTCATTAAGCAAACATATTTATAACATGCATATAATATTGGATGGTAGGAATACAATCTTAGAGCTTTTATAATTCCCTGTCCAACTGATCTCAGAGGCATGTATTTTATAAAAGGGAGTGAAGTACAAATGAAAAGTAATCAGACCAAATTCAGTTACTCTTTGACAACTTTTATACAATCTAACATTATTATAAGACTCAGCGAGACTAAGCATACCCCATATTTGCAAACAGAATTTGCGCAGAAAAATTGAGTTCATCTTTCTAATGTGTACAGTAAATGTATGGTAAAATGTTTTAAACTCATCGCGTCGCCTTTTCCGCATTGCAGCATTAGAGTTTTCCAAATTGGTGACGTCACATCATTGTTGAGCCATTGTGACTTCTGGTCTTGGAAATGGGGTGTAAGATAGAAATTTCTAACACTCCTTTCCTACCCTGGACAGCTCCATCTTACACACACGGAAATGACAGAAAATGATTTATTTCTGTCTGTACATCACTTACCTCCCAGTAGATGAATGCCCAGGGACCCTGGACTTTGGCCATAGTGGTCAGAAGGTGACAAGGGTCAGTAGAACCTGATAGCTCCCTCAACAGAACTTGGGTGTCATTTTCTCCCTCTCCTACCTGATGATGAAATTAATATAACAAGTATTTCAGCATCCAACTCTTGACAGCAGGTATTATGGTATGGTGTCGTCTGCCTGTCTGTAAACTTGTTTTATCTAGAGATTTTTCATTCATTTTTTTTATTGATTTTCCTGAAAATTTCCAGGATTTACGATCACCACATGAAGTTATGCTTTCCAATTCAAATTCTGATGAGACATTTTGGAAAGAGTTATTTCCCCTTTTCTTGGGGAAGACATTTAAACTTGTCCCAAGATCTGCTTGCTCAGTTTTTGACTGACTTCTTGAAACTTGATAGGCTTTAAAATCACAACATGTACCAGTAGTTTTGATTTAGACAATGATAAAGTTCTATCACAATGAAAGTTGTTCATTATACTGTACATTTTTTTTCCATGTACTTCCATGTATATGATACCTGACACATTTTATCTACGATTTGTGAGTTCTAACTCTTCATTTGTTTAAGCGTAGGAGTCAATCGCAACAAGCTCAGGATAAGTTAAATCTTATTTATTGGGTATGTCTACCGGTTTCGCCTGAACAGTGGGCTTCTTCAGGACGATTTGATAACAAAATATGTCCCCTGAAGTACTAAAATTCTGGGCACATTTATATTGTGTATAGTGACGTAATACAGGTAACGTCACGTGATATTATCTATTTATAACGTTCTACGCTTATTTTCCTATTCTTCAATGGCCCTGCATACTGGTTGGTATCCAGGCAAGGGATAACGGAACCTACCGAACCTAAACTACAATAACGGCGTTGGCTCTACTCCTGGATCGATGTTCATTTGTTTTAGTTACAGTTTAATCTTGTGTATATCTTAAATCAATCAATTAATCGTGTCAACAGTATCATTCTTTAAGAGATGTTACAAAAAATCTCAAAGGACAGAACTCTTTATTTAGTAAAGGAGTTTCATATTACAGTGAGTAAGGTAGCATACATCCTTAATTTGATCACAAAAATTATACAGAAAGTTTCCTATCAAAATTTAACAAACTAACTTAATATTTATAATTAGTATTTAGTAATTTATAGTTAGTGTGTAGTAATTTATAGTTAGT